ATTTTATAGTCTTTAGTTTTTTTAATTTAGAAAAAGATTTTATAAGAAATTTATATAATTATTTATTTTAGCCTGAGTACTAATGCTACTGCATGTATGAACACTTTAATGAACAATGGTGGAAAATATGAAGTTGAGGCAAGGATAGGAATTTTGTGCCTTAATTTGCTTAAAATTTGCTTCAAAATTATTGGTTATTCACTGACAATGTTTTTAAAACACATTTTTTTCAAGGTTCTCATTTATGACAGATTTGGCCAAGATATAATCTCTCCTCTGCTATCTGTGAAAGAACTGAGAGATATGGGAATCACTCTGCATCTGTGAGTTTTAATACATTTCTAGTAATTGCATTTATTTTCAAATAAATTGTGAAAGATTTCTTCAGCCACCCTGAGGTCAAATTATTAAAGAACATTTACAGAAAAAAATTACTAGATTATAACATCTAAATAATATAGAATGTTTGTCTCTGGTGTCATCTTTTATCCATCCCTCATTTTTGAGATTTTAATCCTCACTCTAAGGCTATGTACAATTTCAAAATTTAAAATGTCTTTCGTATCTTTTCCATAGACTCAGCCCTCTCTGTAAAGGAAAAGAGGCATTTTCCTTGGATACATAGAACCTGGGGAACTCCTTTTGCTAGGAGTCTTACCTCTGTTTCAGTTCTCAAAGTATCTTAGTGTCAAACCCCCCACCCCATTTATTTTGTTTTTTTGAGACAGTATGTGACTATGTGTCCCATGCTGGTCTTGAACTCTCAAAAATCCTCCTGCCTCAGCTTCCAGAGTGCTAGGATTCCAGCCAGGCATGCCCAGCAAAAAGTGTTTTAATCCTTTAATCTAAATATTCTTTTAAAAAGCAATAACAAAAAAACCTTGCATTAGTTTATCAATATGAAAAATTTAAGTGAGTACGTAAAGTGTTGACTGTTAATCATCATAAAAGGCTATAGTGCCTTCTTAACAACTTTGCTTATATTGCTCTGGATATATTTGATAGAAATAAGTTGTACTATTTTATAGTTTTGCCTAGTAGAGTGCTTGGAGAGGGGCTGTGTTCGTGAATAAATACAAGGTAAAACTTTTATGTATTGAAGGAGTCAGTATTATTCTGTTGCAACATACTGAATTTGAAATTCAGTCTTTTAGTGGGAATATGGTTTTAGAATTTCATTGACTACCATATCAGAATCTGAGTTGATCAGCTTGAATTCTTTAATTATATAATGAGTACTTTTTCTAACTGTAATTTGTTTATATTTAATAGACTATTGTATTCCATCAATTCTACCTTTTGTTTTGTTTTGATGGTGCTCAGAATTGAAGAACCCAGAATTTTGTGTGTTAAGCAAACAAGCACTGTACCTCTGAGCTACACCTCAAGCCCAGTTGCATCAGTTCGAAGTACAGTACACACTTTTCTGTGTTTCTGTAATTAGGATCTGCATTTCAATTGATGACATGTCATAGTTGATGACATTTTTCTAAATGATACACAAAGGTTTTAGAATTGATACCACCACAGTTCAGTGGGAATATGGTATTTGATAGACCTTTCCCTTCATTTTAATGTTAGACTTGAAATACAAATTCTTGGTAATGTGTTAACTCTCAGGAACTAAATTGAAATTCAGCTTGATGCAATCCTTGGAAATAGTGGATAATTAATAAGCATGATTGACCAATGGTACTGTTTTGCATTTTTATTTTACTTATGAAAAGACTTAAGTTTAGAAATTTTAAATAATTACATTTAGACAGCTAGTTAGTAGCAGAGTCATAGTCAGACTACTTAGCCACCAATTCTGTGCTATTTGTCTATGAATCATAATGGCTCCATTACAGTGGTTAATAGAACTGAGGCCCAACTCGGTACTACCTTAAGCACCAACAAGAAAGGCTGCCAGTTTGAGAGTCTAGGCAGTACAGGGCTGTTGCCACCTGAGCAAAGACTATTTAGTTCATCTAAATACTATGGTGAACTCTTGCTAACTTTGCCTCTAGCCATTTTCCCTCTTTGCTGGAGAATACTGCATCAATTATTTTATACACTCTGAAAGCTATTTTAGGCTGATTATAGGAAACAATAATCACAAATTTCCAGCATATGAACTGGTGGTTGTAGTCCTTTAGGGGAGACATTTGAACAGCCAACAGAAAGGAACCTAGCCAGATGTGGCAGCGCACACCTACAATCCCAGCACTCCCACCCTAACACAGGAGGATTTTAAGTAGGAGCCCAGTCTGGGCATTTTAGGAACCCAGCAAGAACCTGTCTCAAAATAAAAAAGGAGCTGAGCTCAAGCTACTGTACTGCAGTATAGGAAAAAAAGAAAGCAACCTGTTGCTGCCATCACATTAAATTTCTCATTGTCAATAGCAGCTACCAGACAAATAGAAGAAATTATTAAATACTGACTACCTGGTAGCATGTGCCCCTTTCACTCTTCTTGATCCTAAAATGTTGGCTAGAGTCAGTGATATTCTAGAAATAGAATGCCAGTCATGTTTCCTGATAAAAGTATGGTAAGTCAGGCCATACTTACCACTAAGATAACTCAGTGAACTAAAGCACCTGCTTAGACAGAGCACAGTGGCCAGGATTGGATCCCCAGCATTTCATGCCGGCCCTGCCCCTGGAGTGTGCTGAAACAGTGAATGAGACTGGGCATGGGGCACACACCTGTAATCTTGACACTTGGGAGGCTGAAAACAGGAGATCACTATGATCTACGTAGTGAGACCCTGTGGACCCTGTACTAAATATATATATATATA